AGACATAACAGCCAGGCAGCACCATCCAGGACGTAAGTATATCGTGTCAACCAGAGACAGTTACTATCCACCTCCCACATTTAAAAGGTGACCCACGAGCGTTCGGCGTTTCTGTAGTTATTGAGGCAACACCCAGTCAATCCACATGCCCAATAGCAGCCCTTAAGGCCTATTTACGGGTCCGCCCACTAGGCCCTTATCCAGCGTTCATCCATTTTGACCATACTCCGCTAACCAGGTACCGATTCCAAGCCGTACTAAAAAAAGCCTTGGCCCTAAGTTCCATAAATACCGAAAGCTATTCTTCACATTCATTCCGTATTGAACCTGCAACTACAGCAGCCATGAATGGGGTACCCCCACATCTCATCCAGCAGTACGGCAGGTGGAAGTCACAATGCTATCAGTCCTATATTCGACTACCAACAAAATAATTTAGCACATCAGTTACTTTTGTAAATGTAATCAAATCATATCAAGCACTCTCTATTAATCTTCATACATTGAAACGAAATTTGTCTGAATATGTATCCAAAGGGCACGGAGATTCCAACCCCTGTAAATGACTTCCGATGCTACTACTGCGTTTTCTTTCCAGTATGGATCGTAGGATCAAGCTACGTGGCAAGAGCCAGGCGAGAGCTCCCACTGCATCAGATGGAGTTGGCTCGCCACAGAACGATCCTATGGCTTGCGAGGGGGGGGGGGGGGGGGGACTGCGTTGGGTGGAACTCGACTAGCTGATCGATGCCCAAATCCAGGCGATGCAGCGACCCCCCAAGGCCGTAGTAATTCACCTTGCATCTAACGACCTTTTGCTCCACAAAGTCGAGCCAGCTGCTGTGCGACATGGAGACGTCCTTAAAGCGGCTACAGGTCCACCTGCCGAACGCCAAGATCTTATACTCAAACATCTTGCCACGCCGTTATTGGCATAATGCGCGGGACCCACGTAAGCCAACCATTTTACCCAAATTCCGAACTTTGCGGTAATCCCCCCTCCACATACAGTGGCGGCAGACCCATCCTGGTTCCAGTGGGATGGGACACACCTTAGTACTAAAGGGGTTCGTCAATTCGTCAGGGATATAAACAATGCCTTGGTACAAATTTTCAAGTAAGTACATATTAAAGATGTAAGTGAATTTCTTATATGAGGCAATCATGGCGGGTACGCGTATCTTCAGCCTTATGGTGTGGGGTAGCACTGTTGTGCTAGGTGGCGTGCATGGGTTACTTTCTTACCAGTTGGAACCCAGTCTTTCCCGGGTTTTCACTCGGGGAATCTAGTTCAGTTAAGTTAAGAATCGGGGCCTGGCGGCGTTCGCTCCCATTCACACCTGCGACGTTTCCGTGATTTGGGGGCCTTAGCATTAATTATAGATTAGCAATTATACAGCTGGGCCTGGGGGCGTTCGCTCCCAATTTTGATCCCCAGCTTTGGTCGGGTTGCGACGTTTCCGTGATTGGAGCCTCAGCATTCTTTGGCTAGTAACAATTATTTTGGCGACGCAAGTTGCCACATAGCTAAAATCTTTTAGGCTTATTATTAGCATTCCATTTCGGAATAAGGGTAGCCCACAAGAACCTCCATACCCTCGGCCATTAATTCCACAGTTGTGCCTCTGTTTTTCCTTCAATATAGGCCTCTTCTCAGGAAGGTGGGCTCTTACTGCAATATCATGCAATAAAGTCCTATATAAGTCTCTAACATAATCCAGTGACAGAGTTTCATACACAGGCAACCGCCTCTAAATTTTAACCACATATTTTCAATTATATTGAGATAAGGAGACTGTGGGGGCCATTCTGTGTTAATAATACCATTTTCTTCTTTTTATTTTTTACACATTTCTGGCCCGACGTACGGGAGCATTACCGTCCATGAATACATATGGCTCGTTTGTACAATGACGGGCTATAACTGGCCAAAGGTTGTGTTCAAGGATGTCTATCTACTTTGCAGCATTGATGTAACCATTTACTGGGGTAAGACTTCCAATTCCCTTGAAGGTGACACCCCACCCCCACCTCATCAAAGACACTTTACGTTGCGAGGGCCGACACACTAAATGCGGCCGGTTTACTTTATCGCCCTTTCTCCTCACATTCACACGCTTGTTACCTCCAATAACAACCTGACTTCCGTCAGAAAAAATGTATTTACTCCAGTTATTATCAATTGTGAAATTCCTGCGTTCCCGACACAACTATCTGCTTTTGTTCAAGTTAACTTCCCGAATTGACACTGATGTTTTGGCAATCCGTCGTTTATATCCTTCGAAATTTTATTTTCTTCTGACAGTTCACGAGTCTTATTTTCGTTAAATGTGTTTGTAATATTTTCAATGTTGTCCGAGGATTCTTTTTGACACGCCTGATCAACGACGTTAGATCACGATCAATGATAGTCTTCTTCGTCCGCTTTGTTGCTTGTTTTCCACTGAGCAAGTCGCTTGATATCTTGTTACCACCCTTTTTATAGTTGACCAAGATCTATCCAACAGCTGAGCAATTTCTGTAATTTTTTTGTCTTCTTTGTATAATTTCAAAATCAATTCTTTCGTGTCAGTTGTCAATTCATGTGATTTACAACCCATTGGCGCAGACGATTGCCAGAACGGAAGTAAACAAGCAGACGATAACTTGTAGGCATGTCACGTGACAGGCACAGAAAATCAGGGGTGCGAATCTAAACGGCGCATTCGTTTTAGCAAAAACAACGTCATATCCAAAATCATGAATACTTATGGTCAGGTACTGTAGCTGAGGTCCGATGAAAGAAAACTTAATTTCCATTCAGATAATGGGGAAGATTACAATGAAATTGGTTGTATTCCTGAGCACCATTCTGCTCTTGAACAGGGTCATGATACAGGTACAGGAGCTGCTAACATACATTATCTAGAGATGCCAACCATTACGATTTTGGCGTAATCACAACGAATTTTGACCCTAAATTACGCTATTACGCTTGGCTTTTGTAAATTACGCTTTAATTACGCTTCTTTTTTGTAAATTACACTTTAAAAAAAATAATCTAATAATGGGTACATATTTGCTCAATTTCATGGGAAACAAACAAGACGTGCACCGGTCAGAGGGAACCTCTTTTGATAACACCGAAATTCCACAGCTCCTGGCACTGTTGTCTCAGTTTGAATTAATGAAGATTAATTAATGACTTTAAGGATGTATGGAGACAACCGGACCCCGCGGTGTGCCCCACTGTCTCGTGCGTTGCCTTGTGTGTATTGCACATGCAAGAATCACAATGTCAAAACGACCGTCAGATGACAAGTCTGGCAGGGATGACGTGTACCATGTGCATTTGTCACCAGAGGCAATCGGAGTTGTGGAAGAGGTGGATGTCTTGTGACCAGTACTTGCCGTAAAGAAAGGTGATTTGTTTAACAACATTTCTGTTACCAATGTAATTAATTACATTACAAATTACTTTTTTTTAAAGCGCAACAAAAAAACAGTGGTCTTTAATCCAATTCGCATTTTTGCCATCCAAAAGTAAAATGAAAAATTAGATAATACCTACAATGTACACTATTTGATGAGGTTTTTCTTTTGCACATTTCTTTTGGCTTATTATCAAATACACACCTCTATCATCACTTGTTGCAAAACACACTTTGTCCACCAATGTTACCTTAGGTATACTGTATCATGACTCATCATTACAGGCCTACATTACAATTTAAAATCAGCCGGTCTCTCTATCCGACATAATCCACATTAACATACGAAAGGATTTGTCAACTTAGATTTATGCCATATTATATTTCATGATTATAAAAAATAGGACTGCAGATCAGTAAGGTTTTGAATATCATATCCCATGAGAAATGAACAAAGAGGCCATTTTGAAAGGAACTTGACTAATAGTACAGTTAATCCCTCATTTCCTCAAATACTAACCTACATTCAGGCATGCGTTACTGATTTCCTTTGTTTCACAAATGTGCAGATGGTGATAGTTACAAAGGCTTAAACATTCAAATCTCTTTGAAAGCTTAACACCTGCTAGAGTCTATACTGACATCAAGCATCTTACTGAAAAACACTACTTTGTCCTCCTTATTGTGCAGAATATAATTGCATGGGTTGCCTGATGACCACCAAAATAAAAAAGTGAGATGTACTTTGATGTAATTGAAAAAGTAATTGAAAAATTCAAATTACATTGAGATATTAATTGATCAAATTACAATTACAAATTACATGCAATTACATAGATTTTTGTAATTAATTACATTCAATTACAAATTACAATTACCCCATGTCTGCCTCCATCACTGGATCAAAATAGATGTTTTCCAGAATACCTGACAATAGCGGTATATTTATTTCTGAGGCCAAAGCAGTTCATAAACCCTTGGAATGTATTCAGAACTCAAATTCATGTAAACACTTCATGATGAATCCCGTTCATCCCTAAAGATACTGGGGCGGTCGGTTAGCCTAATGGTTAAAGCGTTGGCTCGTCACGCCGAAGACCCGGGTTCGAATCCCCACATGGGCACAATGTGTGAAGCCCATTTCTGGTGTCCCCCGCCGTGATGTTGCTGGAATATTGCTAAAAGCGGCGTAAAACCAAACTCAGTCAGTCAGTCAGCCTACAGAAACGGAAAAATGTCACCCTGAAACATCAACTAATTTTTGATATTTCAGAACTATACAATATTCTTGCCACTGGCCAATATGAACGATATCGTCTTTGTTAGACATGGGCGTTTGCTGCAGCGAAAGCAGCTCTCGATAAGCCCGAGAAGAAGGTTGGCTCAATCATACTTCTAATGCGTAACGTGAACGTCACTGCAGGATTATGTACTTCTAGAAGAAATTGCATCTTGGAATCAGTAAAAGACTTCTCAAGTACGATGAATTGTCAAAAACGTACATTGAAAACGGTGCTATAAAAAGCGTGGACAAATAAGTGACAGCTGCAACTTGTAATATTCCCACTGATAATATGTTAATAGACTCACGACTTTCCGGACCCAGGAATGCCACTGTAAGGTACCTGCGTCTGTTCTTGGCTGTTGAATGGAGTTCGCAGTCGACAGGATTAGAGTGTTACGGAATCGGCATTTGACTAGTAGACGTAGAAAATTAATGTCATATTTATTCATTAAGTGCTTTTTAAAACAAAACTGAATGCATTAATGCAACAAACTTGAACTAATTTACGATACAAACATATGCGCTCAGATCAAACAATCCATTTATATTTTACATTATTTACCATAATACTGACATAGCTAAGCACCAGATGCAACTGTACGATTGACTAATTTTAAAAAATGAAACAAATGCTTAAAGGAATCTATACTACCGACAATAAGTATGGGAACACCCAAATCTCAAAGTACGCCAAAACCCATTGAATGTGTAGGGTCGTGTTATAGGCTCTCCTCAAAATTTATGCAGGTCATTGGCTCATGAATCCAAAACGAGGCGGAGTGAGCAAGCACGTCAACATGGCGACAGACGTGTATGACGTTTTGTTGTTTCGGGACACAGGTGGGGAAAAAATTCCCAACACTGCAGCGTATACAAATGTCAGTCTGACAGCCGCTATCCTAAGATCCCCCTGTATGGTTCCACCACTTTCCCAAAGACAAACACTTGAGGAAAACATGGCTTGTGAAAATTCGTCGGGACGAGGGTCCCTTTTTCAAGGTATGTCACTCAGCGTAACGAAAATTGAATTTACTGAATTATATTCTGTTAGCAATTTATTTTTGTGGTAATATTCCAATATCACTGAACATAGATCTATACTAGTGAATGATGCATGACTCGTTTGTATTTGCTCAGAATATTAGAAACTATTACGAATACTATTGAAGAGTAGTGGGTCTGCGAGTATCCACCGTCCTATTTCCAGGGGTGGATACAGCTTTTTGAGAAATGGGGGTGCACACATAATTTTCATGAGAGTTTCAGTGGTCATTTAATATTCTTTCAGGACAAAACGGGAGTGGGTGGATGGGGATGCGCACCTCTGTCCCCACACCCCCTATCTGGTTCTGGAGTGTTTTCAAAATTCCAAAGTTCTACCTATACCATCACTTTGGTAAATTCTGCAAGGCTGCAAGATTTGTAACTGATCTTGCTGCATTCTCCATGCACCAAAGTGATCGAAAATAGAACAATTACCTTGATTACCCTGTACACTTCAACTACCAAATAGATCGATAGAGATGTCGTAACGATTGGGCGTAGGCAAATATATTAGACAGTTTCTCGTGATAAAGTATTTTTCAAATCATTATGCTCAATGTTAATGAGTTGATCTAAAAAAGGAAAGTCTCATTATGTCTCAGGCATTTTTATGCATTTTTGTTTGTTCAAAGATGTTTGAACTCCCATATCAGATTGTTAATCTACATTTATTTTTTTCATATAGGTCAGTAAGTCCTCAGTAGTCTGCAGCAAGCATTTTGAAGCAACAGACTAACGAGTCATCAGAAGATGACATATCCCCCCGGCCACCACATCTTTCAAAGAACAAATCATCTGACAGTTACTTAAAGACCAGCTTGATTTTAGACTAAGTGCAAATCGTTTCCAAGGAAACCGGGAAAAATCTGCAAATAGCAAAAGGCACCACTTAAGGTTCTGTTTCATACATCTACCAAGTTTTGTTGAAAAATATTGAACGGTTCTTGAGTTATGCTCCGGAAACGAATCTCACCCCTCACTTTTGCAACTAAGTCCGAATCTTTTCCATGGAAACCGGGAAAAGTAAAAATGCTAAAAATCAGTAAATAGCAAAAGGCACCACTTTAGGATCTGTTTGATATATCTACCAAGTTTTGTTGAAAAATATTGAACGGTTCTTGAGTTATGCTCCGGAAACGAAGCCCACCCCGCACTTTTTGGACTAAGTCCGAATCGTTTCCATGGAAACCGGGAAAAATAAAAATGACAATAATCTGTAAATAGCAAAAGGCACCACCTTAGGTTACGTTTGACATATCTACCAATTTTGGTTAAAAAATATCGAACGGTCTTTCAGTTATGCTCCGGAAACAAAATGATTACGGACGAGGCGACGACTTTATCCCACCGCATTACATGCCGGTGGGATAAAAACGGACACCTGTGAAGCGAATGTTGAAGTCAGGAGTCATTCCATCAAAGTTTTATTGGTCCAAGGAAGTAAAGAGACGATCAGGACTTGCTATAAACAGACAACAGTTGGAGACACACATACCAGAGACAGCAGACAATGCTATACAGGATCCAATGGAGGTGGAATCTGATGCTGATTGTGCTGAAACTTCAGAAGACACAAAACAACTTGAGGGTGACAAAGTCAGTGAACTACAGGACATGTTGAAGAGATGTAGTGAGGAAAATGAGAAACTTCAAGCAGAAAACAAATTGTTGAGAGAAAAAATGGACATTAGTCGTTTTGGCATCAATCGTTTCTCATATGATGACTCAAAAATAAGGTTTCATACAGGATTTATCTCATATCAGGTTTTAATTGCTTTCTTCAGTTGGATCCAGCCAAAAGCATCAAACATGAAAAGTATGTACTATCTGCAGGCTAGTGAGAACACATCTCTTGCTGGGAGGAAACGGAACATGCTATTGATAGATTAACTATTCATGTTTCTGTGTCGTATGAGGTTTGGACTGCTAGAAGAAGATTTATCAGATAGGTTTGACTGTACTGTGCAAACAGTGAGTCGTAAAATTCTAACATGGCTGAATTAATTGTACTTTGTTTTGGGAAGCATTCCACTGTGTCTTTCAAGGCAACAAATAGACTGTCTGATGCCTGAATATTTCAAGCCGAAGTATTCTTCAACCCGAGTAGTCTTGGACTGTACAGAAATCACATGTCAAGTCCCTTCATCAATGGTATTGAATAGCCAAGCGTATTCAAATTACAGGGACAGAACAACTTTCAAACCTCTGATTGGCGTAGCCCCACATGGTGCATCAAATGTTCTCGTCACGATATGGCTGAAATATTGCCGATGTGACGTTAAATATTAACTCACTCACTCACTCACCCACATGGTGCAATGACTTTCCTATCACCCTTATACACAGGATGCATGTCAGACTCATTAATGAAATTGGGGATTTACTTGAGGAAGGAGACAGTGTCATGGCAGATAAAGGTTTTCGACTTGGAAGATATTTTGCAGAGAAGAACATCGGTCTCAACATGCCGCCATTTATATCCACAAGTGATAATGGACAATTCACACCTGGACAGGTGGAACTGAATGGGGAAATTGCTAGTCTACGTGTGCATGTGGAACGGTTCAACAGACGTGTGAAGGAAAATCACATATTTGACAATGATATACCAATGTCAATGGTTGGTTCTATGAATCAATTGTGGTCAGTTGCATGTATTCTTGCCAATTTTCAGGGACCATTAATAGCAAAATGAGATATTGCATGCTCTGGTCATTCCGGATATTCCAGACTTAAAAATACATGCCATTTTGATAGTCAACAAATGTAATAATGTTATATTTGGGATTACACTATCTGCAGGAGTACCGATTCTAATACGAGTCCCTCCTGAGATTCGAACCCACATTCTCAGAGTCAGTCACTAACCGCCAGCACTGAGTGTCCCAAACACCTTATCCTCAGTCAATAGCAGTCATTTAGTGCCGACAGTTACGTCTGACTCTGAGGGTGTGGGTTCGAATCCCAGAAGGGACTTGTACTAGAATCGGTACTCTGCAGATAGTGTAATCTGAAATATAACATTGTTATATTCCAGACTTATTAATAAATGACATTGGGAATATCTCTTGCAAAGTGTCCTTAAATGTCTGCATAATTTGGTTTATCCCTCATGTCAACAGCTTTGCCCAGAATGTGACCTAATCTCTGATTATAATTTCACAACCAGAACAAATGCACATGCTATGAAATTGACCAATTTGAGATAAAAGTGCATTCTGAGCAATGCTATCGACCTAAGTCTGATAACTTAACATCTTAGAAAGAATTCTGTAAAACTCATCATGGGGGGTTTAAGAGAACTAAATCAAAATAATGCAAGTGACATATATACTGGACAAAATAATTTAGGGATATTGGTATTTTTATGATTGATATTTTATCAGTGTGTCAAGTAATAAATAGATCATTATTCATAATTTCCAAATTTACACATATCCTAACATTTCTTGTCCAGTATAGGTAATATTAATTGCAGAATTATCTTCGAAAATATTGTATATTTGCAATGTAAGAATATGATATCCTTGTATGAAATCTTTGATCTTTGATAAGTATATTATCAAACATACAGGGTTGTAAGTTTTGAAACAATAAATACATAAAAGTGTTCTGACATATTTATTGTCTTTATTACACTACATTTCAGAGCCACAAATTTAGGTTAAAAGACTTTCAAGAATGTTCAAGATCTTCAAGTTCAACACTAGAAAAAGGAATACAGTGAAACCTGCCAACATCAATCAGGAAGTAGTGATTGCACGTTGAATCAAATGCTCTAAGCCGACATGGGTATGAGCAGTCCAATCAAGGTCCCTTAATCCAATACACTCCTCTAGGCTTGCAAATGCTTTTTTAATTTTACAAGTAATAATTGAAAAAGAAGTGGTCTGCTTTATGTTTGAAAGCGCGCCATTCTTCAGCATCAAAAAGGACTGTTTCCAGATGATAGTCATTTTCACACCAAACAAAGAAATCACACCACTCTAGTCCTGTGACTCCAAGTTGAGTCTGCACTTGGGTATATGGATGGTTATGATTAAGCTGAAGATGATCCCCCACTATCTTCAGGTATGATACTTCAAGAACAGATGTGTCACATGGACACTTGACTTCGAGAATGCCAATAGCAGGCTGGCGATTTGGTATATAAACTTTCCGATCTGGTGTAGCGGCGATCCAATAAGCCCAGGGGCTAATGACAATGCCAACAGGATAAATGTTTGCTCCATCAAGTACCTGAATGTATCTATCAATAGCAACTGGTTCATTTGCTAGTCCCGTTGCCATGGCCTGTGTTTGTCTTGTTTTTCTTCCGCAGATCTTCA